ATTTAGGCAAGAAAAAACAAATGCACAGGTATAGTATAGGTGGTACCTGGCTCAATAGACGTAACTGTGAGAGAGATCTTGAAGTCCTAATAGACAATCACTTAAATATGAGCCAGCAGTGTGCTGCAGCTGCCAAAAAAGCTAACAGAGAGGGATAGAATCAAGATCACGTGAAGTGTTAATACCACTTTATAATGCCTTGGTAAGACCACACTTGGAGAGAAGCAATCTAGAACTAAGGAGAAATTTCCTGATCAGTGGAACAATGTGCCTTCAGAAGTTGTGAATGCTCCAACACTGGAAGTTCTTAAGAAGAGATTGGATAGCCATTTGTTTGAAATGGTATATTGTTTCCTGCCTGAGCAGGGGGTTGGACTAGAAGACCTGTTCTGCTCTGTTAGTACTGTAAATTCCATAGAAAAATCCTTCTCTGTGTTCATATTTTTTATAATAGCTTCACTATGCATATTAGGGAAGTGCATTGTTTAATACACAGGTAAATAATACCTGTCATCCTGGAAGAGGGTTTGTTGCTCCTTTTGGTGTACTTGATGGTAGAGTCTTACCATTGTTTTTCCTGTCTCTGATTTTCCAGGTTGCATTCACTTCGCTCTCTTAGCCTCCACAACAACTTACTGACATATCTTCCTCGGGAGATCCTCAATCTAGTTCAGCTTGAAGAACTGAGTTTGCGTGGGAATCCTTTGGTTGTGAGGTTTGTCCGTGAACTGACCTACAATCCTCCAAGCCTCCAAGAACTGGCTGGACGTACTGTCAAAACTCGCAATATTCCTTATGTTGCTAGTGATCTCCCTGGAAATCTCCTTCGATATTTGACTCTGGCCAGCAATTGTCCTAATCCTAAGTGTGGAGGTACATTATTTTCTCTGCTTTTAAGAGAAAATTAAGTTTAGAAATCAGTAGCACTTTTTTCAAGACATTTGGGGAATTATTTTAATGTTTTTTTTCCTTAAATGCTAGGCTTAAAATAAAAAAAAACCTCATCAGTAATTTTTATTTTTATTAAAAAAATTAAAATACAAAGTACAAAAAAATTAACAAGAATAAACAAAAAACAAAATATTTAAAAAGTGCATTAAAAAAGACACAAACACATATACATATATTATCTCGCTTGTTGAACACTGATAAATATATTGCAACAATATTAGTTTCCCACCCCTTGCAAAACAGGCCCAAAACATTTTTAAACTTCTAATTATTCTATTTGCAAATTATTAATCTGTCATCTATCTACTATATTAATGGCAAAATAGTTAACAGGTAGAACAGTGATGAACCTTTTAGAGACCGAGTGCCTAAACTGCAACCCAAAACACACTTATTTATCGCCGGGTGCCAGGTGGATGTGGCCCACTGGGCGGGCATGGCTGTGGTGGTCATGGCAGACTGGGTGGGTGTGGCCAAGGTGGGCGTGGTCACCTCGATGTTCCTCGCGGGGAGGGACGCCTGTGGGGGCCGGGCAGGATTGGGGGAGATCCAGGGGGTCTCTGGCAGGTGGGGCAGTGGGCAGGAGGCTCGTCCTGCGAGGTGAGGCGAGGCAGGGTGGGGCGAGGGTGCCATTGTCACGGCAAGGTGAGGCAGGGGCCGGGGAGTCTGCTGCCTGACCCCATCGGCCCCCGCACACAGGCCAGCGACTGCATGGAGGCCGACAGTGTCCGTCAGCAGCCACAACCTGCCGGCCCCTCGACTGGCGCACTCTGGGGCTCCGCAGCCCGCCACCAGCAGTTCAGAGAATCCGCCTCTGAGCTGGACAGCCTGCCGACAGCTCAGGAGGCGATGCAGTGGGAAAAGGAAGGCCAGGAGGAATGGGATGTGGGGGAGGGAAACCAGCCGTGCTGGGATACATCCAGCCACATGGGACCTCGGCAAGTTAGCGGGCGGCTGGTTGAAGAGGGACGGTTGCCATCTCTGGGCATGGCGCGCGTGCCCACAGAGAGGGCTCTGAGTGCCACTTCTGGCACGCGTGCCATAGGTTCGCCACCACTGAGATAAAACAACAACAAAAAAGGCAAGAGTAAAATTTCAAAACCCTCTGTTAACAAACTATTATTGCATTCAATTTGTAGAAAGTTTACCACAGCTTCTTATCTATCCCAGATAATCCCAATAGATAACTCTGATTCGTCCTGGATCAAATATCCATGTTTGTTTCTTAATACCATCTCTTATCAATTATTGTCCAGTTTAATATAATAAATCCATTCTCCAAAGTCGATCTACCTTCCCCCTAAAAGTCCAGATGAAATTGTTTTCCAGGTTGAATGTGATAAATCCATTCCCAATCTCCTTCAATCTTCTTAGGGGAAACCAATTGATCACTTACCCATTCAATTAGTTTTCTGCTGTTGTAAAGGAATGCAACCCTGAACCTCTGGAAGGCATGTGCAATCCTCTCAGTTAGTTCTAAGTTAGTTCTAAGTCTGTAAGATCCATATTTCTTTTAGTGCCCTTCACCGAATCTGCCACTTTCAAATCAAATTTCTTTTATGAACATGTTTTAACAACAGTTACTTGCATCGGGGCATTTTTTGTAACCATTATTATTTTGTCAAAACATTTTTTAAAAAATTTCAACATCGGTTTGTATATTACCAAATAGTCTTTTTTTCAAATGCCTATTCTATAATCTGATACAATGTGCTCTTGTAACCTAGCAATGAGAGATAAAACTCCTCAGAGAGAGGGAACAAAGTACATTGAAGTAATATTCCTCAGAGTGAGAAAATGGAGAGACAATATTTTTGGATATTTCGATCCAAGATAATAAAAAATAAAAAAATAACCTCCAGACTAATTGCAAGCTAATAAAAGACAAAATCCCTGTAGTGAAAGTCCAATATAAATGTAAAACAAGTCCAAAAACTTTCACTACCCAAAAACATGCCGTGACTTTCTTACAGAGAGGCAAGAGTTATTCAAAACAGCAAAAAGATCAAAGGTAAAGGACAAAAAAACCCACAGATAAAGCAGAAGTTTAAAATAAATCAGCATTCAACCAGCCGGTTAACATTTAGAGATAAAAAGCAAATCAGAAGAGAAACTTTAAAAAGTTTAATTAAAACCCAAGCTTGCTTACAAGAATGATCATCCTGCCATAAGGATATTAGTTCTGGGTGAAAATGCCAATTTTTATAATTTGTGTTCCAGTTATTTAGATCTGTCAGATTCCAGACATTTTATTAAAAGGTATGTGCCTTTTAATAAAATTTGTTAGTCAGAAAAAATGCTATGGAACTCCTAATTTTTTTTGTCATAATAAACATGTTCCCTACATTGAACTCAATGGTATTTATTTCTAAATAAAAGTGAATAGATTTTTATTCTCTATACCTCAACCCAATCTAAAACACTGATATCCAATTTAATTTTTGCACCTTCCAAAGAATCGTGTAGCTGGATTGGAATAAGTTCCATCTACTCTATTGATATGTTTAAAGAGCTGATAGCCAACAGCTATATAACCAACCAACCAGCCCCTCAAACAAGAGAGACAGTGGTGCCATTGACTTGATTTAATTTAGCAGCTGTCATAAACTAAGGACCTAATGACTTAAAACACATGTTTTGCACAACAAGATAGGAAAGTAGACCATGGAAAATGATGTATGTACATGTTTATACAATAACTGCAAACTATTTTAAAAACATCCTTTCTTCTCTCTTTAGGAGTCTATTTTGACAGCTGTGTCCGCCAAATAAAATTTGTCGATTTCTGTGGGAAGTACCGTGTTCCACTGATGCACTACCTTTGTTCCCCTGAGTGTTCTTCCCCTTTCAGTTCTGCATCTCAGAGTTCTAATTCCCAGAGTGAATCTGATTCAGAAGATGAAGCCATTGTTGCTGCACGCAGAATGCAAAAGGTTCTTTTGGGATAGGAAGAAAAGATAATACAAGAAGCAAGTGCCTGATGTCCTTTGGAATGGGCTTGCCTATATTATATTATTCACTGAAAATGCACCTGTAGAATTATCCATGAGAAAGCCACTAAATGCCTTAGAGAGAAATTAGTATAAAGACATCTTACAGCTTGCTATCTGGAAGGACACTCTTAAAGCTTGAGATGTTTCAGGAATTCTTGGCACTGGTGATTTGTTAGAGATGTTTTAAACGAGGGGTGTCAAACTGCCGGCCTGCAGGCCGGATGCGTTATGCCAAAACCGCACCCACCCCATTGCCGGCAATGGAAAAAAATCGCGATATGTCGTGACATGTCATGTGACATTGCAAGTTTGATACTCCTGTTTTAAACTCTTCAGTTCTGAGACTGGCTTTGAAGTGGATTTTCTTTAGTCACTGTGATAACATGCTTATCTAAGAATACAGAGTGGGAGTAATGTGTTTAGCAACTGTTGTACTTGAATATTGTTCTTCCCATAAAGCTGCTTGGGCTTTATATATTTATTTTTAGCAAAATTCCTCCAAAATGCACAAATATCAAAATGTGTTACTTCCTTCTTATTTGGTTTCACTGCCTATGATCAAATGCTATGCTATAATAGCATTAATGTGCCTTTCCATATTTTTATACCAGCTTCATTTTTCTGTCCTTCAGTGCATTGTTAAATCATACTGCCAAAAATTTGGCAGCAAAATTATTGCTTTTTGGTAGCACTTTTCCTATTTTTTGACCCAAGAACTGAAATAGGTATATTAATGCATGGCGAAAGACAGAAAGAAAAATTGTATTTTGTCAGTTAAATTGTCCCAATTTCCTCCACAGGGGCTAAATTCACTGGGCTGCTGCAGTGCTCCCTATGGCTTGTGCTCTTGAAAGTTGTGGTTCACCAGAATTGGGAGTTTCTAATTTCTGTGGTATGCTATAGTGCACCACTAGTGCCTTCCTTGGGTTTTCTTCTTGAAGACTGCCATTTTCTAACTTGTGAGAAATATAAAGAATTCACTGTTCAAATTCATTTAAAACAAAATTGCATTTTTTTTACATATACCTTGGTGCCATTATTTGCCACATTTTATGTTATGGGTAGTATTCCATCATATATAACTATCTGTACATGTATCCATACATTTAACATAATATAACTTTATTTTGTAAAAAGTCAGACATTTTTACCAATCCGTTTATTTCTTCTATTACCTTTATTGCAAAGTTACTTACATTATATCCTTCCTCTCTTCCCTTGTTCATACTCAAATTTGATCTTATCATACATGCATTGCCTTTTTGTAAGACTGACCCAAACTTCCTGCCTCTTACATTTCTAAGCGTGTTGAATTGTTGAAGATACCTCATATATTTAGGAACACGTCTAGTCTCTACAAAAGATAAATATTCACAGAGGAGTTGCTGTTTATTAGGCATCACTAAGTTTATCAGTGACAATATGTTGGTGAACTTAGGCCAGGGGTAGGCAACCTTGGCTCTTTTATGACTCGTGGACTTCAACTCCCAGAATTCCTGAGCCAGCCAGGAATGGTTCCTGGGAGTTGAAGTCCACGAGTCATAAAAGAGCCAAGGTTGCCTACCCCTGACTTAGGCAATCATTTTTTAGCACACAACACTCGCAGTATCACAGACAATTGTGACTCCCCTTTTCATACAATAGATATGCTCTTCTCTACATATTTGTGGTTTAATCTTTTTTTTTTTGAAGCGGTGTTTCCTTTGCAGACTGAATGAGTATTATCAATAGTAATCCCATGTTGAGTGCTAAGTAAAAGTAATACTTTTGCAATGGACAGCCTCTTTTCTGAATCACGTTAGGAATGCTCTCAGCTACATAGAAGGCTATATGTATAAGTGAGAAGAAGGGAATCTCACATAGAAAGATCCCTGCATTTTAGGGAGAAAGGAATGCAGTATTATTAACTGGGATCTTTGCAAGATTTGTGAAAGAAATTGGGAGCTACAGCTATTTCTACTTTTCCATTGTGGCTTCTGCCTCCAGTGAAAGATTATCAGTTTGATAGGGTTGGTTTGTGGACATGCATGAATACATATGTATCATTTACTCCCATGTCTTTGAAATGGCTCATTTCAGAGCCATTGCAGTCATTTCAATGGCTCATTTCATACATATATACAATATATATAGAAAGAAATCTTATGGAGTGAATATGGTATGCATCCTTGGCCAGAATCCCCTATGAGATTAATTTATATTTAGATTCAGATGTCATTGAACTCTTGTTTCTATCAACCTCAGCCAACTGCAATACAATAGTGTATTGCAAGTTCTTCAGCATCTAGAGAACAAGGATAATCTGAAATAACTTTCACAAAGAATGCCTTTATAAGTGTTCAAGAAATGCTGCTTTTAACAGTAATATATATTCTTTCCCATATTCCCTTGTTAATATAATCTAATTTACTAAAATTATCAATAGAAAAAATCCTTTTTTATCATAACATGAAATTAATATTGCAACTTCAATTTAGAATTAACTCCTATATATTCACTAAGTCTGGAAATAGATTTATACGGAGTGTTTTTAGACCTGAACTTGATTATTATTTCATTTTAGCATTATAGATACAACTGATGCATGTAAGCATATATTCATTCAGTCTGCAATTTCCATCTTGAGAGTGAGTCTCATACTTCTTTCCTCTAAATGTTTTATGTCATATCAGCCCAATTCATGATTTTGGAGAACTTAAAATGTTTGTAAATTATTTGATGACATTTATGTTGGTTCTAATTAAGGTACAATCTAACTGAATGTTATTGTTTTTCTTAGGTATAAGATCTCTATTTTCTCTGTTAATTTATTAATGATTTATATGCTTAATTGAATCTTGGTACTATTTGATGTCAGTCCTATACAGGTAAAACCTAATATTGATTCTTGTTTAATCTGGCATTTTTGATAATATGCTTAGGCAATATACATTTTCTGGTTTTTCCATGGATTGATCTTATTCTAAACTGTGATTCAAAATATTGTTTGTATATGTGCTCCACTCACAGGCATGCAAGTTTTCATTAAAGCATTATTTAGATTTTGTTTTGATTCTTTCTTTCCATGGCATAAAAAAACGCCAAGTCTGAATGTCCTTAATGACCTCATTTCTGTGGCTGTGTATTCTTCCAATCATTTCTTTATCCATTAATGCCAGAGGGAAAGTTTATAAATTAAAAATTAGCACTTTAGGATCTGTACAGAAAGTTTGGAGACAAGAGAAATTAAAAGCATTGAAAGGATCCCTTTTTTGTTATACCAGTCAAAAAAGAGGTGATTTACTTCTAGGAAATTATGTTTGGTTAGGAACAGGTGACAGGGAGATGAGACACTTCCTTTGCAGATAGGCTTACATAGCATAGCAACTAACAAAAGGAGGGAAGGAAACAACCCAAGGCAGGCTGGAGTAGATAGGGAAAATTTGGCTACTATGAATCAGTTACAGGTCAATTACAGAAACTTGAAGGGGCTTGTGATGTCATCTTGGAGCCCCTTTCTGTAGTTATGGAGAACACTATAGTGCCTGAAGAACTGAGAAGTGCAAATGTGGAAAGGGGGAAAAAAGTAAATGGTAGATTAATTAGTTTGACACATGCTAGCAAAACTTGGAACAATTTATAGGTAGTCGTCAACTTATAACCACACTTGGGACTGAATTTCTGTTGCTAAATAAGCGATCCCCAACCTTTCCAGCTCTCTGGACCGGCAGCAGCAGCTGTGTGGGGAAAGGGGATGGTTTCGGCTGTGCACGCTGCTTGCGCAAATGCAGCTTCGCATGCTCTCCTGCCACTTCCAAGGCCTGGTTCCCAATGAGTTGCAGCCGTTGTACCTGATCTTATCATCCTTTTGGACATGGTGATTAAGTGAATCATTAAGTAATTATGGTCATTAAGCAAATCCAGCTTCCCCCATTAACTTTGCATGACCCTGGGATCCTGCAACTCTTGTAAACACACGCCAATTGCCAAGTTGATTGTGTGACAGTTGTAAATGCAAGGACTGGTCAAAGATCACTTTTTTCAGTCTTTATAACTTCAACTTTAATGGATGGTTATAAGTCGAGAACTTGTATAAAGCAATTGGTTTATGAGCATTTAGAAAATACATAGAAGGTAATAATGAAAATAATGGATTTATGAAAAAATAATGTCAAACTAACCTGACCATTTTGATATAGAGAACAATTTAGTTGACTTTGGGAATGCAATAGGCATGGAGTGCACATAGATTTACTTTGGTAGGAAAAAATAATAAAAGAGGCTCCATTTTAACCAAGTCATTGATTAATAAGACTACAGTATATATATATCCAGTTAGAGTCTGTAACCAACCCCCTTTTTTCTTGCAATAAACTTGACTAATGATCCTTACAAGAATCTAGCTTTTATGGTTGTGAGCAAGAGGCTCGACAATGGTCTCATTGAATGTCTTCCAGCCTTGGGTTTATTTTCCAATATCCTTTTGACACTGGCCTGGTTGTGAATGTTATATCTATTTGCTTTGGCAGAATATTGCAGTCAGTTTCCATGCAGTGTGCTACACCAGTTTAAAAATCCAAACTTCTAAAAACTTGTAAAATCCAAATTTTTAGAAAAAATTGATTTTTGAGGACACCTCAAAATATGTCTAATTTCTGATTTGGGGGCAGATGTAGGGAGGGGAAAATTAGAGAAGAGAACTGCTTAGGAAATCTGACTCAGCACTAGTCTCATTGATGTGCTAGCCTAAGCAGACTACATTTTGTAATGATTTTTCTGATAGAACAAAAAAAAGACAACTTGTCCTGGTAAATTAGCATAGCTTTATGCTTTTGATTTTTGATTTTTTTTTAGGTACTAGCAGGATTGTTGTAGTTGCTTGGCTCAGGATTTGGTTGATTTTATTTATATTGCTATAAAAGTAGTAAAAGTTACTTTTTTATTATAATTTAAATGTATATGTCACCTGATTCCCAGTGACTCTGGATGATTTACAAATTGTTCAAAACATTTAAAAACAAGGAAGCAACAACAAAAGAATAACAATGGCAGAAATGTAGCAATATTTAATCGAAGGAATCTGAGATTCTTCCAGGAGATGTTGGGCAGATACTATGGAGACAGGCAGTCCCTCAAGTAACCAAGTCCTTTGCCAGTTGGGTTTTACATGTAGCAACCAGCATCTTGAATACCACTGTATTCTGGACCAGTTGAAGCTTCTAGGGCAGGGGTAGGCAACCTTGGCTCTTTTATGACTCGTGGACTTCAACTCCCAGAATTCCTGAGCCAGCAATGCTGGCTCAGGAATTCTGGGAGTTGAAGTCCACGAGTCGTAAAAGAGCCAAGGTTGCCTACCCCTGTTCTAGGGCAATCCCTTGTACAGCACATTGCAGCTGTCAAGCTATGAGGTGAGCACAGCATGAATGACTGTCTGAAGGATGCTTTGATTTAAGAAAGGGCACAACTGCTCCTAGAGCAGTGGTTCTCAACCTTTTTAATGCCGTGACCCCAACCGGTTGTAAGTCGAGGACTAAACCGGTCGTAAGTCGAGGACTACCCAGCCGGTCGTAAGTCAAGGACTTTCCCTGCCTGGGAGTGCCGCACATGCATGGTTCCGCCCCCTGCGCCGGCTGAGGCGTAGCTGGCAAGCGGCAGAGATGGAGCAGGCCGACCACCAGCTGGCCCAGCCCAAGGGAGGTAAGGCACCCGCCGGAAAAGGGGAAAAAAATGGCGGACAAAAAAATGGCAGACAGCCTTGCTTGGCGACCCCCGTGAAATGGTCGATCGACCCCAAATGGGGTCCCGACCCACAGGTTGAGAACCACTGTCCTAGAGGAAGCTGTGTAATGGCCTGCCTAGTTTCAGCTGCCATCAACTCATTAAGCAGGAGCTGTGAGTCCAGGAAGACCCTAGGAAGTGCCACTCCATCCCCATATATAACTTCTCTTTCCCATATTTGGGCCGATAGAGGTTTTCACGGGTGTTTATATGTGAGTCTTTGGTTATTCGGGTTTTCTCCCGTGTAAGATTAGAAGTGTCATAGCGACGTTTCGATGAAATCACATTCATCATCATCAGGCTTGTGCTTTTAGCTTTGTGCTTCTCAGAGTAATATGAAATGTCTGCTGTTTCTTTCTTTTAACTGCCAGTGGGGTTTGAACTGAAG